CCTCGGTTTTGATGGAATATCCCGACATTTGAGGCGTTTAACTATTGGGTTGGCCGACCCATTTCTTTTCCTTCTGTATGAATGCTCATTCTGAAAACGGACGCGGTAGGATAGAAAGAAGTGTTATTTTCTCAAAAAAACTGTGTTATTAGTAATGCTTTACGTCACTCGGAGACATTTACATGGTTAGTGTATGAACAAGATGTTTAAAACACTTTCTTAAATGTTTATTTGATAGAGGATATACTCGGATTCACAACAAGTTGACATATCACAGTTCATGTTGAGGCGTAAAATCCTTAAAAAAGCTAAGGCATCTATATGGTTTAACCCGTGCATTTGAAAAGAGCACCATAAAATAAAACTTCTAAAAGTTATACAACCATCTCTAAAATCAATGTTTACAATGTACAACCTAGGATGTTTTAATTTACATTTCTTCAATGTCAAAATTACTAGTGTTGGAAGCTGCTACTCTTCGAATTTCTAGCTTATTATTCAATAATCTTTGAACAGTGGGAACGTCTTTTGGAAGTTTTGGTTCCACATCCGAAGCTGTTTCTGGGGTGATCTTCTCCTCCTTTTGCTGCGATACTGGACTTTTATTTAATTTAGACAGCTGAGGAGATCGCATTCTATAAAGCAAGTCGTCATAGGTCCGTATCTCATCGGGTGAAAGGTGATGTAGAGTAATGAGTTCGGGTGCAATCCAGTTGTGTCCCTAAACAAATAAAAACCGAGTTCATCAGCAAGTAAAAGTTGTGAAACAAAATTAAGTTGAATCCCTGAGCCTTGCTTTGAATCGTAAATGATCCGAAGTACATCTTAATTTTCTACAAGGAAATTTCAGCTTCGCAATCTATGATTCAACATTTTTTTTCAAAGAATTTGTGAACTCACATTAATTTGCTTATAATAATGCCATTCATCAGCAATTTTTCCATGAAACATGTCATCCGGTCGATATGTATGGAATCGCTGCTGTCCGTGTTCGTTCCTTGTGTCGTGTGGGTAGATTTCGATACTTTGTAAACATCTAAACAACAATAATATGCGATACAGTATTATTTCTGCCATTATTTTCCAAACAAACCTTCCCATGCCAACATCTTCAGATTCATCGAACGGACAAGCTTTGCGATCTCCATAGGCTCTTTTCATGAACAGCTTCACCGCGGCGCGACTAAGAACATATCCAGCACCACCACCATTGTAGCCTTGTGCCTGCAAATTTCGATCTTTTATACCTACAAAACATAGGAGACTTTTTTTCTCGAATTTCTTAAAATTGACAAACGATATTGAACTTTGATGAAGTAACAAAACGTATTTAGTAACTATTTTAGTCTTCTTGAAGTGCAAAAAAACATTTCTCGAAAAGATATTTAGAGCAATAATTCAGTATTTATTATGTAGGCTGTTAATACAAATTTCTGCTGCAGAGTTACAGAATATTATGGTGAGCAAATCTCTGCAATCAAAAATTAGCAAATCTTGAATCTTTTTGAATAAGGTATTTGTGAAAAAAAATAGTTCTTAGCAACGGGTTTGGCATGTACTGCGCGGGCAGCACGTAGAATCAAAAGAAAGGTTTTTTTTGTGGCAAATCGGTATCTCTGCGCCGTCAAACGAAGTACTGTTTTGCCTGGTGCTGTAGGACATTAAGCTGCCAATTAGCTTACAAACGCCA